AAGTATAAAACAAATACTAACAAATATTAAACATTAAATTTCAAAGTTATTAACAAAAAATCGAAAAAGGCTCTGACAATAATATTGATACGATTTACTACTGGGTACTTCTAGAAAATAATATTAATAGTAATAATAAAGTTAATATTTTTTGGGCCACAAAGCGCATCGATCAGTGTTAGGGCGATAGCCGGTCGGAAGTGTAAGAATCAGTTGAGAATTCGAAGCATAAAACATATGTATATATGAATTATATATATACAAATGTGCTTGCGATGACGAAATCGTGCCTCGCCAAGTGTCCTAAATATTATAGTTTCAGAGAGTTAATTTTAACAAAACTCTTAAATTCAGTAAAATTCACAAAAATATAAAGTAGAGAGAGAGTTAAAATCCAACTATTAATAATACTTAAATCGATAGGTTTAAGGTGAAATTCGGTATTTATAAAGAGTATCTTTGACTAACTGCAAACAGCAATGATATTACTTAACAACGCAAAGAGAGTGAGAAAAGAAACAGACCTGTCAAGTTTTGGCCGGCTCGCAGTACTAAGAAGAGCAACAGAGGGTGATGGTAAATATTATGGCTATCTGAGAGCCATCAAAATACTTCACTCTTCGAGCGAATACAACACTTCTTAGGCTGCAACTACCCAACTCACTCTCCAGCCGTCCATAACTGACGACGTTAGTAGTGAAATACATACACGAGCTATCGACGCCGCTGAGAGCGGCGAAATGTTGCCAGCTGCCTGTGTGTTTGCACACTTTTGAACAAATTCATAATTTTCGTCAACGAATTTCATAATTTATTTGCTTTAACATAAACACAAGGCAAATATACATGATCTATATAGTAACAAATAATTAGTTACGCATTTAGTTTTCATTTCTTTTGAACAAAACTACGCATTATCTTCGATTATTTAATGTTACTTTAAGAAAGGCTATACTGGCAACCTTGTATAGCAACGAAAAATGAGCCGAGCCGGTTTTACGGAAAAATCAAAACTTCGTTGGTTTCTGCGACACAAACGTCAGCAACGCTATGGTAAATCGGTGATAACTTTGTGTTTACATGGCGCTCTCATAAGATAGGTTACTATGGACGGCTGGTACGCTCGTTGGGTAGTTGCAGCCTTACTTCGACCAACCATGGTTGTTCTGTTGAGAAGTTAAAATTCGAAAACAACACAAATATACATACTACATAATAAAAAAAAGAAAAGCAAAAAAAAAAAAACACCGAAAAGTGTAGCAAAACAATCAACTATTACGGTCAGTTGACTGAGAGTGCCCTCAGGGCTACAACAACTTTGGAATGGCAACAACAATAGCTGTAACGAAGTAATAAATGTTGAAGAGAATGTACGAATAATGGCATGAGTGAACGAAAATATCATATTTTCACGATCGTTTGCTGCTGACCAGCATTTAAGTGCCCTCATCGGTTGTTATTTTGTTGTCGCTGTTGACTTTAGTATTAGTTCTGTTCGGTGAACTGATGGGCGCCAACAATTGTTAACAAGTTTTACTGAATTGCGTTCGGTGAGACGAAAAGGTAGTAAAGTTGGCAATGAGAAAGCGGTATCGTGATATTTAGTTTGGAGGGGAAGTTTCAAATCGTATGTCATGACGCTGCAAAGCAAAACTTCCTGGAATTATTTCACGCCAGTCTCAACAACTCTCATATTGCAAACACAACAACCGGCACATTAAGTTATGCTACATCATCATCAGCGAAGCGAATGAGGCTGTTATGTCTGTTGACAGTCATAATTTTGAAGTCGAAGATAATTTCGTCTATATAGGAATCAACATCAACACCATTAATAATGTCAGCCTTGAAATTCAGCGCAGAACTACTCTTGCCAACGGGTGCTACTTTGGACTGAGTAGGCCATCGAAAAGTAAAGTCCTCTCCCGACGAACGAAAAAACCGTCCTGCCATTTGGTGCGGAAGCATGGACGATGACAACATCTCTGATTAGTCGGCCTTAGGAGTTTTCGAGAGAAAGGTTTTGCATAAGATTTATGGTACCTTGCGATTGGCTCCGGCGAATACCGCCCGCAGACAAGGGAGCATTGATCTGTACGGGATATACGGCGACATTGATACAGTTCAGCTAAGCTGGCTGGATCATGTGGTCCGGATGGATGAGAATACTCCAGCTTTAAAAGTATTGGATGCAGTACCCGCCGCTGGCTCAATGTTGTTAAATCGGCTAAAATCGCGTAAGTGGTGTCTGCACCAGTAAATTAAGTAAGTAAGTTTTAAGTTGGCCATTGAATAAAGCGCATAGTGCTGAAAGGAGATAATTTATACTCGACTGACTACCTCCAAACTCAGCTATAAAGATTACTAGCAACGCTGAGCTTGAGGACAAGCCTGGTCTGTCTCACTGCTACCCAGCACCACCGTGGCACGTAGACAACCCACTAACTTTCGATTCATTAGCAAGAGCGATGCCAAGCCATTCATAGATTGCTTTCTAGAGCTGCAGACGTCGTTAATTGGAGCTTGTCACCGCTGAACTGATTTTTATAAAAATATTTAGAACCGGGAAATGGACTATATAAATGAATGGCTTCAACTAACAAATAAAATAGCTGATATACAACTTGTTGGCTAACTCTCACTGACATTTCTTACCGAACAGAGCTATTGCTAGCAATAGTGTTCAATGAGAGCATATGCTGCTGTCTGCCTTCACTTTAGTCACTCGATGGTTTTGGCATAAATTATGTTTGGATCCACTTTCGAGTAATGTAATATGTGTTTGTATGTATGTTTGCTTAGAATCATGAATATATGACCATATACATTTATATGCATATGTACACATGTGTTTTGAATTTGAGGAATGTGCAGGAGAGCAGTCGATGTAATACATACATATACATGAAAAATCTTCTTCTTATGCTGCAACTACCCAACTCACATACCTTCCATCCATAGCAGCCTATCTTCAGCGCTTGCCCATGCCGTTAAAGACGGTTGTCCCGCAGAAACCAACGGCGATTTGATTTTTTCCGTAAAACCGGCTCGGCTCATTTCTCGTCGCTATACAAGGTTGCCAGTATAGTTTTTCTTAAAGTTATGTTAAATAATCGAAGATAATGCGTAGTCTTTTTCAAAAGAAATTAATATTTGTCTTGCGTTTTATTCAAACATATAAATTTTGAAATTTGTTGATGAAAATTATATATTTGTTCAAAAAAATGCAAGCACACTGGCAGCTGGTAACACTTCGTCGCTCTCAGTTACGTCAACAATTGTGCATGCATTTCGTTCGTTACAACAACAACAGGATCCCTCAATGTCTGATACTAGCACCAGCTTTTGATTTAACCAGTGATACCAGGAAAGTTTGCGCACGGAGACGATTTGATTCCAGACGATGGATTTTCTTTATATTTTACGAAAGCAATGCTGATATATTGCTGGTTGTAGGTAATGAGGGAAATACCTTTAGACCGCAGTTACCTTCGGTACTTGGGACTACGGAAAGTGTTGTCGTTGTTTTTGCAACCGAAAAAATTTTGCCCCAAGTACTTTTTGGGAGTACGAATGACAGTCCTTGGCCGGATAAAAATTAGAGTCGCTCCGGCAAAAAGATCAGACTGTCGCGGATAATTTAATATATCGGTCGAAATAACTCTCCTTGGTTGACTGCTATCATCGATTTCAGTGGCAGGTAAAATTTAAACTATGTGCAGGAACATATTTAGGACTGCCAAAATCTGCTACGAATAAGAACTCTTCGGTTGGAAAGCAATAATTCTGTTTTAAAACATTATAAGTATTTTTGTGAAGTATAATACTAATTTCTCAATTAAAGGCGTTTAAAAGCGGAAAGGAAAACTCTCAACCATTTTATTTCAAATTTTCCGAATTTTTCATCCGAACTCTGCTTTTTTTAGATGAAAAAAAAAATCATTCTGAGGGGGGTTATTTTTAGAAACAAATGTTATTACTCGCTTTTATTTATTTTTTTTTGGACAGAAAGCATATAATTCCCTCTGCCCTCGTTTTGACGATCAAGGAGAGCTTAAAAGAATAATTACTTTGCATTCCATTAGGAGCTAAAAACGAGTGATCCCTCGCTAGGACATGCCAAATTAAAGAAGAGTATTGAATACATGAGATTCGAAGATTTGTGTAAGTAGTCCATTGCTCCTTAGGGTGTGATCAAGATAAAACCTTGGTAAATCTTTTTTTATACTGGGTGTATAAACATGAACTAATGTAACATTTTTGTTGCATTCTTCCTATTACCGTCTAGTTGCGGCGCAAACACACACATTTATGTATATACATACATACATACAAGCTGAGCAGTTTTAACAATTACTCAAGTGATGATCGTAATGAAGTTGGAGAGCCACACTCAACATGCGATTGTGGCATGTGTAATGGACAACGCATATAGAGAGAACAAAGAAAAGAGAATAGTAAAAAATTAGGGAATTATTTGCAATCAAAGTCAGTATGAAAGATTATTTTTAGTATTTGTGACGTAAAATTTGGTTTATAGCCATTTATGTGGATAATGAAGAGTAGATTAGGCATGTACGTACATACATAGACTAGTCCTGACAGCAATTGAAAGACTGAAATAAATTCCAAAAGTAAGGCATAGAGTTTTTAGGTTCTAGTTTTAAATCACTCCATTTTACAGGAATTTTTTTAATACCTAATAGAATTACCTTTTTGATCGCGTCGCTCTCACATCACCTCCACTTTTCAGCAGGTGCTTTCATCATTTTCAAATATGTATATATGTGTGTGAGGATTGAAATTTATACTCTGACAATACAACCAACCAACTCATTAAGAAGCTAAAATTCCTCAAATAAAATACTGATAACAGCTACTCAGCTACTTGGTAGAGTAGAGAAAAGATCTTATCGAAATGCTCTCCCACTGAGCAAATTCTAACGATATGTAGGTATACAGCTAATGAGAGAGCTCATATAAAAGCCACAGTCGCTACCGAGCCAACAACAGAGAATAAGAAAATGTGCCTGTGTTCAAATCATCCGAGACGTGTTAACAATATTTAATTGAAAGTTTCGAATACACTAAAGTAAAATTTGAAGTAGAAAGAAAAAAAAACAACAAAAAAAAAAATATTATTAAAAATGCGTCTGGGTGCGACAATGCCGAATTTCAAAGCCGAAACCACAATGGGTAAAATACGTTTTTTCGATTGGCAAGGCGATTCGTAAGTGAAAACCTATAAATAAAAAAGAAAACTGAAATCAAATTGATTATTTTAAAAGTCTTCCACGAGTCTGTGCATGATTTGAATAAAAAATGAAAAAACTACCTAAGAAAACGACAAATTATGTATATGGAAAAACTATTGTTGTAGCTGTCTGTATGTGGTATTTGTATTTCTTATGTATGTATAAGTAAAAAAGTATGTCGACTTAAATGTAATCAGTGATTTTAGAGATTACTATGTGTATATTATACAAAGCGATATTTGCATATCTAGACAAAATAGACACCCAGTCCAGCAGATCAGCTGCATAACTACATACAACTAACAAAACAAGTTTTCTTTCTAGCATTCGTAAAAATGCTCCATTGAATGCTAATGATAAGAACAGCTCTTATAAATTAATTAAATCAAATATGGCAATTTTAAACATTTAAATATATACCCGTCGTTTGTGTAATTGATACTATTATTACTTTTATTTTCAACACGTTTTAATAAACATTAGAAATATATGATTAGAAATCTTATAAACATATTACTGGGAGAGAAAAGAGAGCAAATAAAAGAAAAAAACAAAGAGAAACCATAATTGAGAAGCTACAAAAAGCTGTCCGAGAGCCACATTAATGATATTTCATTTAAGCGCGCATATACACATACTTACATAGATACCATTATTAAAATCTCTTCTACATGTAAACAAACTTAGTGATACAATGATTGATTTAAAATATTTACTGTATGTAGAAATTTATTTTACTTTATTATATTATATTCTATTTTTCTTTTTTACTCATCTTTCTTTTCTAATTTTGCTTTTCTTTAGCTTTATTTTATTTTAATTATTCTACATTCATTGTATTGAATTTTATTTATTTAATTTGTTTTATTTTTTTTTTTATATATTTCGTTGCTTTTTATTTTCTTTGCTTTATTTTCATTTATTCCATTATATTATTTACTTTAAAAAAATATAAATAATTTTAAATGTCTTTGCTTTGTTTTAGATGATCCCTTTTTACATGTTATATTATATTATTTTATTTTGTTTTATTATATTTTATTTTATTTTATTTTATTTTATTTTATTTTATTTTATTTTATTTTATTTTATTTTATTTTATTTTATTTTATTTTATTTTATTTTATTTTATTTTATTTTATTTTATTTCATTTTATATTATTTTAATTTAATTACTTTTATTTTTATTAAATTAAAAAGAGTTTTTTTAAATTAATCTTTTATTTCATTTCAAGCTGTCTTATTTTCATTTATTATTTGTTTTTATTTTGTTTTATTTAATTTGGTTTATATTTTTTTTTTAAATTGTATAAGGTAATTTTATTTTTTTAGTTAGTTTACTTTAATTTATTTTTTTTTATATACTTTATATATATAATTATATACTTTGTTAATTTATTTTTATTCATTTCATTTTTAAATTTTACTGCATGTTTCATTTCATTTCTTTATACCCTTTTTTTGATTTGATTTTATTTGACTTACTTTTATGCGTGCACAATATTTGACTACAAATTGCGATATTCACCTTCCCAGGTGGGTCATACTGTTCTCACATCCTTCGGATTTCACACCCGTCTGTACTACCGAGCTGGCTCGTATGGCCGTCCGTTTGCCGGAGTTCACAAAACGTAATGCCAAGTGTTTGGCTCATTCAGTTGATGATTTGCAATCACATCATAAATGGGTGCAAGATATTCAGTCATATTGTCATGATGTCCCAAAGAGTTTCCCCTATCCCATCATCGCTGATCCACGCCGTGATTTAGCTATACTCTTCGGCATGCTGGATGAAGATCAGAGGCGAGATCCAGTTATTGCGCAAACAATTCGTGCACTCTACATTATCAGTCCCGATCATAAAGTACGCTTATCAATGTTTTATCCGTTGTCCACCGGTCGAAATGTTGAGTGAGTTATGCTTTGCATATAAAATTTGATTATTATTGAAAAAAAAAAAATAAATTAAATATCATTCTAGTGAAATTTTACGTTGTCTGGATTCACTGCAATTAACATATCGGCTAAAAGTTGTAGTCACACCGGTCGACTGGACTGTAAGTGTTTTCATATTACTCTATTATATTTTTCATATGAATTTTGAAATAATTGTTAATTTTATTATAGCCGGGCGACAGTGTAATGATTGAACCCGATGTGACCGAGGGAGAGGCGAACAAGTTATTCCCGAAGGGATACAAGAAAGTGCCACTCCCATCCGGCATTGAATATGTCAGAACAACGCAAGATTACTAAATCTTCAAGTAAAATATAAATAATAGTTCATAAAAAAATATATTAAATTAGTTTAGCAATTTTCCTCATTTCGAGCAGAGTTGATGCCCCTGACATTCTTTGTAAAACAGTGCTTATCATTTCAAAAATGATTTTGTGCTTAATTTTTTAATTATTGTTACTTTAAAGTATATAAGGAACAAAAATAATATATTTTAAGTATAATTCACTTAAGTTGTTTTAATTTGAGCGTCGCTAAATAAAGTAAATATGGATATATAAATAAATAAAAAAAATTAAATTATATTATATTAAATTATATATTATTAAATTAAATAAATTTAAAAAAATAATTAAACATACAAAAAAAACAAACATAAAACAAAATAATATTTAATTATATTAAATTAAAATATGATAAAATAAATTATATAAAATGAAATAAAATATAAAGAAACTAAAATAAAATTTAATATAAAAGCCAAAACATAAGACAATGTACTGGAAAAAATGATATATGTATATTGAAATAAACTAAAAAAAAATAAATAACTAAATTTAAATAAAAATAGAAATAAAATCAAATAGAATAAAGCAAACCAAATAAAACAAAATGAAAAAATTAAAATTAACTAAAAAATAAAATAAAATAATTTCAATTAAATTAAAATAAACCAAATAAAAATTAAACTATTATTGTAAAATGAAATAAAACACATTTAAATAAAAAAATTAAAGGAAAATTTGATAAAAAAAAAACAAAATGGAATAAATTAAAATAAACTAAAAGAAAAAATAGAAATAAACTTAAAAATAAAATAATATTTAATTAAGTTAAATTAAAATATGTTATAAAAAATTAAAATTAACTAAATTAAAATTACATGAACTGAAATATATTTAAATGAGAATATAAAGTAAAATTTACTATAAAAAATAAAACAAAATAAAATAAATTGAAGTAAACTAAAAAAAAATGAATGAATTTTAATAATTTTTTTTAAATAAATGAAAAAAAAATTAATATAAACTAAAAAATAAAATAAAGTATAAAAACTAAAACTTAAAACAAAAAAAAATAGTTAATAGAAATATTATCAAATGGAATAAAATAAATAAAAGCAGAAATAATAAAATAAAATAATACGAATTTAATTAAATAGAATAAACTAAAAAATATATACAATTAAAAAAAATTACGTAAATAAAAAATCAAGTTGAATTAAATAAATTAAAATAATTAAAAATACAACGAAAAAAAATAAATTAAAATAAATAAAGAAATAAGGCGAAATAAAATAATAAAACAAAATTTATTTAAATTAAATGAAAACAAAATAAGATTAAACCAAATAAAATAAACAAAAAATACTAAACTTAATTTATATTACATTAAATTAAAATAAAAAATTTATAAAAATAAATTCAATTGGAATAAAATAAATAAAAGTAGAAAAAGTAAGGTGAAATCAATTTAACTAATATAAAATAAGCAAAAAAATACATACAGATAAAAAATAATAAAATAAAGTAAATAAAATTAAAATAAAATAAAATTAATAAAATAAAAATAAAATAAAATATATTTTAATTAAAATAAAATAAGATTACACCGAACAAACAAAGCAAAAAAAAACAAAAATAAAATAAAATTAATTTAAATTAATAAAAAAGAAAAAATATAATAAAATAACATAAAATAATATAAAATTTATTGTGAAAAGAATATAAATAAATTGATTAAAAGAAGGTCAAATAAGTCAAACAGCATAAAAGTTTTATGTAGCAGCGGAAACAGCACAAAATACTACAAAGCAATTTTTGGGACACTTGAAAATTGAAACTATTTTGGGTTCAAGTACAAAGTTTATATTGGCGTGAGAAACAGCTCTATCAAATCTCCGGCAAAATGATTGTTTTATTTTTAATTTTATATTGAAAAACAAAATAATAATAATCAAAATAAGAAAGTTTATTAAGACGTTAATATGTATGTTTGCACACCTATCAACCAGACCAAAGCGTCTGTGAAATTTTTGTAGTTTTGTCTGGTTTACCGCATTTATCAAAAATAGTTTTTGGTTTGTGAAATTCTTGTTTGTTTTATATAAGCACTCAAGGTAACATGCTATTAAAAGTAGCTAAAAAAAAAACGGAACATTTTTCACAAGTAAAGTTTAATGCACTCAAATTACCACAATATACCAACACTACATATATATATTATATAAAGATACTCCACGATAGTTTTGTGACCACAAATAATTTTTTAATTTTTTTCGAAATAAAAAAATGTAAGAATTTTGGTACTGCAGAATATATGTTTAAAAAAAAAAAACATTTTTTTAAAACGTTTTTATTCTATGTTTCCTGAAATGTACCAGCAGAAATTGAATATAAAAAAGATAGCAAAATTTGGTAAAATATCCTTGAAGCTTTGAAAATCCACAATAATGACTTAACAATTAGCAGCGCACAGTGTCCAATGCAAAAGCAGATCGAATTTTCAATAATTCTCCTAATCATGACACACAGTGTACAAATGTCTCCCGCCAAAAAAATTGTATTTAAATCCATTATGAGCAACAAAAAGTGATAATCATACCACATCCACACGGAAAAAAAACATAGGAAATTGTTGAAGCGACAAAAGTCATCGGCGTCGCTGTCGATGATATTAAACCACGGGTATTGATCAAACTTCTGAGCGTAAAATTGGCGCAAAAGTTGCATGTTGATTGTAATGGAGCATTGAAATATGGTTAAATAGGTCTAAGGGGGTTAATACACTTTTGGTTTTACATAAATAGGGGAGACGCTGTCAAAAAACACTGGCGGCCTTTAGCTCCGGTGGAGGTTTATGTGCCACTTAAGAGTTTGCAAGAGCAAAATTGTATTGCACAATATTTAACATTATTAATTAATGTATTGTTTTCGGTGCTAAGCTGTAATTTTTGTAAATTCTATTAAAAGACAAGGAAGTCTTAAGTTATATTTAAAATTAATTGAAAGTACTTATTATAATTTAATTTTTATAATATCCTTAGATCATTCATATAATTCGGATCGGGTTTTTAATTACGATTATGCTATATATTCTGAAGGAAAGGTAGCGCAGCGAACAGAATTGTATCCTTTACGTGCTGCCACTGTGCTGTTGCCTCTTCGCCATGGGCAACATGCACTTCAACCTTTTAATGCTCAAATTATGCTTAGGAATGTTATTAGTCTCTACTTCAGCACTACAAGGCACGAAAGTCATAAAAATTCCCAAACCCCCTGCAATAAATATCTCATTCCGGCAGCAAAATTTATCACTACTTTTCAGGACATTTTTCTATTTTATTATTGCTATTACTTTTATTTAATATGGGTCCCATCGCAACCATACCCCCGCAAACGCAGTTACATATAAACAATAAACTCTGGTGTGAATCTATAAAAGCTGCCCAAAATGTTGTCGGCGTTTCAGTTAAACGCTTAAACTAAAGCGAATCGTGCGCGTTCGATTTAACTCAGAAATTAAAAAAAAAAATAATTTACAAAAGTATTTTTTTTTTTTTTTTGCAAATTCGGAATAAATAATGAAACTGCAGTTTTAATTAGCTCTTCAACGCGTCGTATAACGGTAAATTCGCGCGCATCGGTAAACGTGTGTACACATCGCCTATCGCCACTCACGGTGGTCGCGTCCCTCAATTGCATTGCAACAACAATCCACCACAAGCCGGAAGGAAGGAAGTGTCTTGTCCGCTGGCATTTCCCTTTCCTTTTTCACTAGCAAATCGTGCACTTTTGCCGAGGATTTGTGTGTTTTGTGGCAACATTGCATGTCAAATTATTAAACCACACGTAACCACCATATAACAAGAAGAAGAAATCAAACCTATAAACAAGCTTGAAAGCATAGTGTTTAGTGAAACTTTTTGCAAAATAAAGTTACTCCTTCCTTCTTCACACGCCCATTTATTCTCGATGTACACTTCGCTTATTGTTGTTGCCGTTGTTGCAATTGTTAGTTTCGCCACATTGCATTGCTGAAGATGAAGTCGGAAAATTTCTTCACTGGCTTAGCCAACTTGAATCAGAGTGCACGTCAGTCATACGTTTCGCAACTGCTGAGCAGCGACCACGTAACGCGTCGACGTCGCTCATCGTGCGGCCTCTCGGATAAGGATAGTAGTATTTGTAGTAGTTCGCGCATCTGCAGCAAGCGGCAGCGTACAAGGCAAGCATCGTTTCATTTGTTTAATTAAAATGTGTTTTTTTTTATTTTTTGTGAATATTATTAAAATTTAAATTTGAAAATTCATCTCATATACGTTGAATTTGTGTCCCTAGGCGGCGCTATAATTTTGAGTTTTGTGTTGAAAAAATTAGTGAGAAAAATATTATAATAAAATGAAATAAATTAATAAAAAATAATTAAATAAAAACACTAATATGAATAATTAAAAAAACGAATAAGTAAAATAATGTTATATTAATATTAAATAAAAAATAAATAATTATTATTAAGTAAAATAAATGTAAAAAGTAATCACAGAAAATTTAATAATTTTTTCAGTAAACAGAATTTTAAAAAATATAAAAACACAATAATATGAAAAAAAATTAAATAATTTAGTAAAAATTTATTTATTAATCATAAAAAAACTAAAAATGAATAACTAAGGAACTTTGTGTATAAAATGTCTAATAATGAGTAAACGTAAAATAAAATAAATAAACAAAAAATAAATCATAAAATTAGATCAAAAGATGAATAAGCGAAACAAGCATTATATATTTTATAAATAATTAAATTAAAAGTATATAAAAAAGTATTCACAAAAAAATAATTGGCGTACAAAATTTGAAAAACAAAAACATAATAATAATAAAAATTAAATAAACAAATTGACAAATGGGTTATAAAATTATTAAGTATACATTGAATGCATTAATAAATAAATTAGTAAATAAAAATAAACATGAAAGACTTATAATAAAGAGTCTGAAAAAAATATAAATAAATAAAAAATATTAATAATAAAGATTTAAGGTAATAAACTGTTAAATAGGCTAAAAAAAAATTATGTAATAAATTTCAAATAGATTATGAAATTAATAAATAAGTAAAAAATTAAAATATTTAACTTTAAAAACTTATGAAACAAAAAAAAAAACTCAAAATAAGCATAAAAAATTATAATATCGGACTTACACGTATGCAACGCGAGATACAGATAAATAACGCCATCTATTGGAAAAGTAATGGATTACTTTTTACTACACCAATATATTAATAATTAAAAAATAAAAATAAAAAAACATGTGTACAAAAAACATAGAAATTAAAAAAATAAGCAAAGAAATGTATGAAGTAATAAATAAATACAAAATAAATACAAAATAAAAAATATTTAAATAAATAAATAAAAAAAGAAAAAATTAAATATAATGAAATTGAAAAAATTAAACATAAATAAAATAATTATAATATTGATAAAAAAGAAAAAAATAACAATAAATAGATGGAAGTAGAAAAGACAACAATTATTAAATGCACATTAAATATATTAATAACAAACTAAATAAAAAATAAATAAAAAAATTTACGTAAAAAATAATATTAATTAAAAAAAAACATATAAAAATAATTAAGTAAAGAAACTAAAAAAAACACATAATAAAATAATAAATATACAGATAAATGAAGAGATAAGATTAAATAATAATAAGAAAGGAACAAAAAATGAGTAATAAACAAATTTAAATAAATAAACAGTTATTGAAAACGCCTAATTTTTTACGTTTAACCATATGTACATACACGTGTATTTCTATTTCTGTTATTAAACTATCTTTGGCTGAACATAAATAGATAAATCGCTGCGCTCCGCTTTGCCCACCTTCAATGACATTACTTTAATTAACATTATAAAAACGTGCTTAAATCTAAATTAGTCTTTATAATTAATATAATAAGAGTTAATAAGAAACTTTAATTTTGAAAAGTCTAAAAAAAAAACTAATTATATTTAATGCAAAAAATTTATTTTTTTTTATTCCCTTAATTTTCCGTATTCATTCTTTAATTCACATCCATCCATATTCCTACAGTGGATTTAGCCTAAAGCTTGCGGAATATAATGGTTTTAAATATAATAATAACACAAATTTTCTTAAATAAACAACTTTAATCGAAATTCTTTAATCGTATTAATTATTTAATTGAACTATTGTCTTCTTGATTTCATTGATTTTATTGGAAGCTTCTTCTATGTAAAGCAAATGAGGTCAATTTGAAATTCTATATCGACGTGTTTTCTTCAAAATAGCCATCACTTTGAACAAAACTCGCTATTTTTTATTTAAATTTCATAATTTTTTTTGTACTCCGACCTCCGACCTGTTTAGATTCAGGTTCAAAGCGATGAACCCATATGAGATGTGATAATTAAGTAATTCGACTGATACCACAAGAAGCGTATGTTACAAAATTATTCTAAAACTCGGCTTTCCCCTTCAAAGTGGTCGCCTTGGGCAGCTATACAACGATTCCAGCGCGTTTTCCATGTTTCGTAACATTTCTGGAAAGCTTCTACTGGATGTCGTCAATCGACTCAAAATGGGTTCCTTTGATCACCGATTTTATTCTAGGGAACAAAAAAAGTCACAAAAGTCCTTTAGAAGCCAAATACTGCTGAGGGCGGTGGGTTGTCGCATTGAAGGATCCAGTTAAGAGCGATGTCTGAGTACTGTTAACTCGACACGACACAGCCGGCGAACTAAACAAGCTAGAACGATGGCGAATACATCAATGGAGAGGAGAAGGATGAAAGGTCGCGGGCTTACCACAATAGCGGCAATTAGTTGATTGCCACACCTCGTATTTTATATTCAAAATTTCAAATCACTTGAACAGTTAATAAGGGGTTTTGAATATATTCATTTCAGGCCCACTGCCCGAAGAAAAAGTGTTCTATATTTATAATTTAAACAAAAAACACTACACAACACAAATCAATTTTGAGTAAATCGTGATGAAAGCAGATTTTGTTTCGTATAAATAGTTTCCTGGTTCAATCCGCGGAGAGAACATAATGTCTGATAAACCCAACTTTTTTTTATGATTTTTCCAAACTGATTGAGTCCAAAACCCATTCCCACAAAAATTACTACTGACGATGGGATAGAAAGGTTTTAAACACACAAAAAAATCAAATCTCATATAAATCGGTTGAACCGGTGAAAGAAGAGCCATTTCCTTTCGGCAGGAAAGCTAAAATCCTTAATCTCACTAATCTACTCTTAGGGTTAGGAAATTTCATGCAAATAAAAAAAATCATATTTTGACAATACAGAACAGTGTTTTCATCAAAACTTCAAAACTTTTTCGGGGGAAGTGTTATGAAATTAATTTTTAAAGAAACTTAAATAATGGGAGTTTCCAAAAAAATATTCATTAAATATAGAGAGAGAGAGAGCGAAAAATTTAACCTGCCTCTGTTTGTACGTAAGCATAGAGAAATTTCCGAAAATTTCAACGCCACCTAAATTAATGTGAGCACAACACGCACTCAAATGAATGAAAAAGGTGAAACAACTCAAAACCCAATACTCATAGAAAACAACTACAAAGCAACCCCCAAAAATACTATTTTACTCGTAAATTGTTATTCATAATAAAAAACAAAAAACAAAAACCAAAACAAGAAAACTGGAACAATCCTTTTCGTAGATTTACCCTGAACAGGTTAAATTCACAATCGGAAAATGTCATAGCAACCAGGCCAAACTCAAAACAGAATTAAACAAAACAACAAAAACAAAGAAAAAACTTTCTAATAGGAACAAAACAAAGAAATTTCCAACTACACGGCAGCATTTTAGGGGCGGAATTGTGTGACTGCCCACACAAAATGCACTGCAGCAGGACTAAGCAAGCCGTCCTTTCGTTACTTGCTAATAGCTCAAGTGGCGTTAGTTGTTGTTTCCACTGTGTATACGGTTTAGTTGTTGCTTAGAATGCGTGGCGTGGCGTACAAATGTCGAAAGCGGAAAAGTTTTTAGCACAAATACACAAATACAAATACAACAATGTGATAACAAATGAATTTTAGAAAAGTTTTGAAATTTAACTTCTTCTTGTTCTTCTACGCGAATTATCCAGGCATATACCGATGAAGTCTTCAAAGAGTGTGGCAAACAAAAAGTGCAAGCCAATGGATTATACCAATTATGCGTATAATGAGGCCGTAAGCCGATTGAAGCTAATGCTTGCCGAATCGTATGCCCCGCCCCGTGGCGGTGCGGCCGCTTTCAGTGCTGGTGGTAATGGTGCATCAGGGGCGTATATGCGGCATGTGAATGAGGATTCCACGGATAACTATTCAGATAATTTATCGGTGAGTATGAAAACTAGTTTAGTAATGCGGTGAGATGGAGATTTTTTGAATGGATTGGCAGTTCGTTGAACCTGTGCCGTTGTTGGTGCGAGTGTCTAATTAAAGTTTTGGTTTAAGTATTTTTTTTTGAATTTCTTTATTACTCAACTTGCTTGTACAATAATTTAATTGAGCTGAGTTCGAATGTTGGTACATATTTTCAAAAACTAACCTCAAATAGAAATGCGTAAGCATGCATGGAATATATGTTAGACCCAAGTTAGACCCAAAATTGGTACTTAAGGCATGAAGCGCTTTTCGGATGATCTCCTCCTCCATATGTGGTGTGCGTCTTGGTGTTATTCCAGCAAATGGATGGACCTACAACTTATACAAAGCCGCCTCCGAGCGGCTGATGGGTTTTCATGAGTTGCTCTTATTTCATGTCAGAAATACATTCGGAGGAGTTGACATCACCTGCCGAGGGGCGACCACAATTAGAAAATTTAATTTATTTTTTCTTTTATTAAAATTAATTACTATAACTTTTGGATATTGGTCTTACCAGGATTTGAACCCGGGCCTTCCGAATGACAGTACGCAATGTTAACCACTCGGCTACCGCAAGGCGATGATTTAATTTTTGGACGATCTCCCCTCCAATTTTCGGTTCGCGCCTTCATTCCAACAAATGAATGGACCTCCTAAGGTTTATTCTAAGCCGTCTCCGAGCGGCCGCTGGGCTTTAATGGGGATTTTCATGTCAGAAAAACACTAGGATCAAAATAGTGGTCTGAACGGAAATCAAGCCCGAGACCCTCCGCACGACAGTACGAAGTGCTAACCACTTCATGTCACTTCGAGCAAGAGTAGTCCCGAGGCAATTTTCGTCCTAGCTTCTCCACCTTTCTCTTAAAGTAAATCTTAATATTTTCTCTACGAGTTAAACCAACAGTTTTGTGTCAACTTCGAGCTCGCTGAAGAAATTTTATTATTTTCTAATCAGAAACAACCCGAGAGGTACTAAAATTTTTAGAGGGAAATTCAATAGTTATTTCTCATGAAGGCCAAGCTAAACCAACGTACATATGCTGGTTGATCCATTTTAAAATTAACTCTTCTTTTTCATATCAAAACGAAAATTTTACCACTGCTCTTGCCTTCTTCTCATAAATATTTTCATTATATTTTCTGTTCGCATGCAGGTTATCGAACGTCCCGTATACTCGGATATTTCAAAGTACTTATCGCCTGCACAAAAGTCACGTTTAAGTCCAGGCATACGCACCAAACCGAAAGCTTACAACACTTTTGCCTCCTCTAAAGAAAACCTAACACTTCAAATGCCCTACGCGGGCAGCACAACTACAGGAACGGCAGCACAAGATTATTACACGCCCAGCAGAGCGCCGCAACCTGCGGTGACTGATAGTGTACATGCACCGGTGGAGATATTCAATTTTATCGAAAAACAAGAGGATTACATCGAACAGCTGGAGAAAGAGTCCACATACTGCCGCAACGAGTTGTCCAATTTGCTTGGTAAAGTCAAAGACGTCATCAACGAGAATACTCACCTCACGGAGACCGCACGCTCCGAGTTAGCCGCATTGAGTGGCGGGGAGAAGGTAATGCCCGCAACTAGTCCATCTTCAGACAGTGATGAACAGCCGCATCATAAAAAGAAATCAACTACTACACCACGTAGTAAGAAGGATACCACGTCGACGGTAAAGTCTCCACGTTACGCTTCAGCACCGAATATTGTCTATGAGGCGCGCATAAGTGAACTCGAGGCGGAGCTTATGCAAGCAAATATCGATCTGAAGCGCTTAAAAACGGAGAATGAAGAACTCAAACGCAAATTGGCACACGTTGACCCACTAGTGCTGGTTGGTGCCCACTCTACTTCACACGCATCAGCCACCAGCACGTCCGCCGCCACCACCAGCGCCAGCGCCAATTGCGATCTGCATCGCAAGCAAATCGAACAACTGCAAAATGAGAAGCATGTACTGGAGGAAAGTGTGCGTCATTTACAGAAACTTTTGGATGAAGCCAAATCGCAGCAATATCAAAACGTTTCCTCCAAGCGCTACGTCAACGATCTGGTGCAAATGGAACGTGCTCAAGCGGAGCTGGAGGTGAGGCATCTGCGTGAAGAGCTCGATCGGCAGCATGAGCGTGTACGCGAACTGCAACATGAGATGGCGCGTCGCATTGCAGATGAGCGCGCCACGGCCGAACGACGCTACAACACGCAGGTGGATCAATTGGGTGGCGATCTGAGCAGTCAGTGGGAGCAGGTGGCCAAATTGCAATTGGATTTGGAACGTGAAAAACGTTATGCAACAGATCTCAAACGTGATCTATCGAATCGCAATGCACAGATCGAAGAGCTCAAAATGGAATTACGTTCAAATCGTAACACTTTCCTAGCCGATATGGCGCAAGTGAATGCTGAGAAGCAATCGCTGGAACAGGAAATCACCTCCTTGCGTTTGCAATTGGATCGTGCGGCGCGTGAGGCGAAAACCGAGGCGACGCGTCTGACAGCCGAGATTTCATCGTTGCGACAGCGTTTGGATCGCGGTGATGCCGATTTATTGCACTCCAAGCGTGAGGTCTTGCGTTTGAATGATGAAATCGCCAACTTGGAAAAGGAGGTGTGTGGATTATAATTTTTTATATTCCCTTTTGCTTGTGTGTGATTTGATTTTGTGCTTTTTCAGTTGGCTTATGGTGAAATGAAAAACGAAATCCGTCCCACCAAAAAGGATTTAGACAAACGAATTTCCGAAATGCAGGAGAAGCACGGTGAGACTTTTGGTAGTTTGAAAATTTTTCAAATTTATGCACCTGGATTTGTTTCATTCTTCACAAAACTAATAACTGAGGACACAATTTAGTTTAGTAGACTCAAAAGTATATATGAGTATGTACTATTATGCACAGATTATTAGTTAAACAAATATATTTTGTTCTAATACTAACTTTTGGAGGTTTTTCACGATATTTCTAATAGGAATCTGCATGCATTTATTATTTAAAATTCAAAGAAAGATAAATAATTTATTTTAAAATTATAACTCACAGTCGAAAAGTCACACACCTCGAATCGAAATTTGGTATTAAAGTCGCTACAACCTAAACGCGATCTGTCCCCAAAGCTTCGTTCATCGAATCCCAACGTAATATACTGTTTGTACCTTAGCTTTTGGCAATCCCATACCTAGAGTGCTTCGCCAGTTATCCAAGAAAAGGTATAAATAAATCCATGAATATACAAATACCAGAGACGAGGTGGTATTTTCTGAATACCCAAAACAAAATTTGGTCACTTTCTCTGATGCACAAGCAATTTGAATACATGATGAAGATATACCCCATAAGTATGTTTGGAAAGAAGCTGGTATTATCTACACTACTTACACTTGGCCAAGCCCGGTTTGTTCATAATCACAGAGCTTTTTACAAGCCAAGTATTTCGGACATTGCGATTTATGTTCGAAATATTCTTATACCTCGATTCGAAGTGCGAATTTAGAAAGAGTTAACCCCAAATGTTTCCCATATTTACGAGTACACCGATAAGGTATGAGTAAAGACTGAAGAAAAGCTCATTCCGAAGAGTAAACTTTAGTAACGAAATTTACTTATATGAAGATGTAAGCACTATTTTTAGCGGAGAGTATAGATTAGCGGCCGCATGGCGGAATAACATTCGTATCATCAGGGCTCGAGTCTTGGTCCAAACAACGCCCAAAATTATGGAAAATTAATTCTTCTTATTGCAGCCTGCTCTCGGCAAGGAAAGTCAAACCTTACGTGTGTATATTTGAACCCACTGGTCGTTTGGAGAAGGCTTTTAATAAATTATTGGTCTCTCTATAATGTTTGAAAAAAAAAAATCAAGACACCTGCCTTGAATTGAATGAGTAGCTCGGCCGGAAATGGCTTTAGCGGTTACAAAGCGTTAGTCGTTCGTTGGAAATACGCAGAGGTAGAGTTCAACTGATTGCCTTGCCTTCAACGCCTACCAGAGCACTTGAAAATTTCCCTAAGTTTCTCCCGACAGACCTGCATGCAATGCCGTTAGTCTAAATGAGGAGAAGCCCCGTAAGACACACATAACAAATTCTACTCTATTCTCGGGAGAGGTGAAACACGCCACTTTTGTTTCCTTGTTTAACAGCACTATCTCAACGAAAATGCCAGAGGGGAATTAATGGAGAAAACGTTACAGCTTCTGGACCGAAGATCAGTAATCAACTTCACTGACGGCACAAAACTCGAAGGCAAGGTAGGCTGCGGTGCTCACTCGGAAGCACTTGCAATCGACATGAGCAAAAAATTTCTCTACCAGTAAAGCGCCTTTTCAGTAGAACTAACTGCAGTAATCGAAACCGCTTTTGGGTCAATTTTAGTGCAGTATCTCAACCTAACACAATATATTCTGAAAATCGCAAAGATACCAACAAGATTTAGGAAAATCTTAAACAAACTCTCGACTGTATGCGAAACGACCTCAGATGAAGTGATATACCAGAAATCGAGCTAGCAATAAGAAATCCAATCTAACTTAACTATGAACACTGTACACAATGCGGACATACCACTTTCTTTTGGGAAACGCCTGTTAAGATCCGTTTACACCAGCAAGGCTAATAGCAGCTGACAGGCTGAAATCACAACCGATGTAACCGAACAGAACTGGCCATTAATCGATACAACAAGAACTAAGTCTGTACAGCCGACGTTATTTGGAAAGTCATGGTAGTAATTTGGGTTGCCTATATAAGTACTTCTGTCGCGGCTGCAGAGCCGTAGACGATTCAGAGTCGGTGTAGCACTACTTCTGTTACTACCACACCTTTAATGCGGCCCACCACCCTTTTGTACTTCGACTGCCGTTCGTCGTATGTTTCATAAAACAAACCAAATGGTTTCAGCATCTCGCCCCTCCCATAGGCAGCATAATGCGCCAACAATACAAGGGACAAGGGATCCTGCGAAGGAGAAAACCTAATTAACTTATAAACAAACTGTGGGTTTTCCAAATAGAGGTGCTATTTTGTATGGATTGCTCTTACGGTAAAAGCCACTTTTGAAGCTCTCTTTTTTTTTTTGACAATTAACAAGTAAAATGTAAGCAAATGGAACAATACACGCTTCAACGAAGCAATGAAATTATTAAAATTCACCATAAAAATTTCATGGAAAAAGCATCTTGACTGATGATGTCTAATAGGAGACTGATGAGGTCCATTTCCACCTCGATAGCTACATCAATAAGTAAAACTGTCGCATCTCAGGAGATCGTAGATTTATTGTTGGAAGGCCACTCCATCCTCAACGTGTAACTGTTTGGTGTGCTTTATGGTCCCCAAATCACTTTTTCGTAGAAAATGTATTGATTGCGCTGTCAAGAGGTGATTAATGATGGCCGCAATTGGATGGTATTGATCTGAACCACGTTTACCCTCAAGAAGCCGGTGTTACGTGGCACAAGAGCAACGATATCTTCGCTCTTTTAAGGGAAAAGTTTCTTTGATTATCAAAATAACACCTCCCATGGGAAAACGCATGATAAAACGTAGCTGAGGTGAAAGGGAAATTAAAACACAAAAATGTTTACTTTTCATTTTATTTTCCTGTTTCCATAAATTTGATCTAGATTAATTGAATGCAAAAAGACGTTCACTTATCACTATTGGAAACACTCTTGCACAATTGCACCACTTACAATATACAGTGTATGTACATATGTACATGCATGTTTACATATATGTATTGCTATGCAGTTTCTTCTTGGGTAAGCTATTGATTTGGCTTCTGTGAATGTTCCGATTTATTTAAAAAAAAAAAAAATTCCAAAAAATTCATATACAGAAAACCTTTTTAATTGGCCTTTGTTTAAAAAAGATGAATTAGTACAAATTCAAGTGGATTTTGATAAAGTAAAAACCAACAAAAACTTGCCGATTATGTGTGCTAACCAACAACGAAAGTCAATAGTTTATCCATGAGTTTTGCGTAGTTTTATTAAAAATTATTAAAAAAAAATCACAACAAAGTAAAAAGTAATAAGTAAAATTTGTGAACTTAATCATTTTTGTTAATATAGCCAACTTGATAAAAAAAAAATAACAAAATTTTTATATGTAAAATTTTATATTTTGTATTTTATTTTCGTATCAAAGCCGAAACGGTGAATGAACTTGAAGATATGATACAGAGTCAGAAGCAACTCATGGATAAATTAACTGGCGAATGCAAAACGTTGACTAGTAAACTTGAGGATACAACACTCAAACACAAGTAAATATGAATTTTAACTAGAATTCCGTACAAACAAACTTAAGGAAAAATATTATATTTATATACATTATTGAAACTAGACAAGAAAGGATTGAAAAGGTGTAAAAACTCGTAGAATATATAAAAAAATTCATAAAAAGTGGCTAACTAATTGGATGGTTAATTGGTTGAAGTGGTTGCCTGGAATCAACTCACTTATGCCACCAAACTTCAAAACAGAGTACGCGTCGTGTTTTTACTCCCGCTACCTCGCTCAAGTCTCTAAAGTTTGCAGAGCGTCTGAAGACTTCAAACTACTCCACCAAAGTGCGGGGCATTCACAAAGTAAGTGCCTTAAGGTTTCAGCTTCTTCTTCTTGACTGCAAGTTCAGCAGAAGTCATTAGATGGTATGCCCAACCTCTATGCGTGCCTTTACTATAACTGTATCTCTGTCCTTTTTTACTTTTATAAGGTCACGTTACCTACTTTTATCCCACTTTGGCCATATTATCCTGGTAGCATTACAAGCATTGAGTGTACTCTCTATCTTGAGTTGGCATCTTTGATGAATAACTCTCCTAAAATAAGCAAGTGGAGAGCGGCATTGCCAAACACTTCGATGACGAAAGGATTAGCAAATACTAAGATCCCTTAAGTAAACTTCGCAACCGACCATGTTATCTAGTTTTGATCCATACGTATAAAAATTTATTAAGTCTGGTATTATTAGTTTCCAATCGAAATGTCGGGACCTTGAAATGTGTCGTAAAGTCAGTCAATTATATGCTGTAGTATGTAAAGGAGTCAATTTCGATTTTTAACCTACCCATTGCACCAAAAATGAGCTTCATTGCTAAACAAAATTTTCTTATGAAAAAAAGGAAGCGGTGGAAATCAAGATTTGGGCCCACTCACTGAACATCCGACGCGGTTGATGGCCTTTCGTGCACAATTCTTGCACGAGTTGGACTTCGTACGCCCGCAAACAATGATCCTTCTACAAAAACTTCCATTAGGCGGATGGACACAGCTCCAGTTTTTTACAATAGCATTTTTAGTAGGCGCTGTACGGCATCTCTGATGATTTAAGCGTGCTGAAAAACCGTTGCTCGAATTACCGACTCCGCTGGGTGATTATATCAACTGATTATTGGATGTCGCATGCGATGTGTTCCGGAGTACGTGAGTACGTATTTTCATTATGAAATGGCCGAGCTCGTTCTCAAATTTTTCGTGAGCGTCTTGACGTTTTTCCAACAAATGAAGAGACCTGCAGTTTATACGTAACCGTTTCCGAATGGCTGATGGCTTTTTATGGGCAGCCCTTATTTCATGTGAGAAATACACTCCCTGACGAGGGACAACGGCAATTATAAAGTCCAAAATACACCCTTTACTTATACATACAAGAAGTACATGCAGCTTTGCCCGAGCCGTCATCGACTGTTGAAATTTAATCAGAAATACATTCCTTGTCGAGAGGGGAACGCCAAAAGAAAAAAAAATATATTTTTTTAATTTTTATCTATTTTGGTGGTTTCACCACGGCCTATGCAGCCTTAAACTTAGCGGGGAAAAAGTTGTTTCGCGTGTCAATCCTTTTCTCTCAAGTATTTTCCAATATTAGTCATGCATTGGGGACTAATCAGCTTAAAACCACACCACAGAGAACCCTTCCTGAGGAATTGTTCAGCATCCGAAATATTCTGTGAAATTAATTTTTTACACCTTTTCACATCCTTTTCTTTCTGTTTAATTAACATTATGTGATAAAATGACAAAATAACGGCTTTCTAATACAAAAAAGAAAACACAAAAACAAAAAAAAAACCAAACAAAAAAAGCGAACTCAAAACGAATTCACAAAAGCCAATTCAAAGCCAAAAGCTCAAGGGAAATTGGATAGAAACTAGACACTGAAACCAAGGAATTTCACACAAAATTAGAATTTCACCGATTTGCACCAGAGGACAAATAGAAGAAAAACCATACCGTTAAGTACAACAACACTATCTGCCACTTGAACAAAATTTAATATAAGCATTAGACAACAAAACAACTCAAAAAACAACAAAAGTGAACACGCTGGATTAATGCGTTTGTCGTTTTCTCACAATTCTTGTTTATTTTTAATGCTGCCGCTTGCTCATACAACAAAAACAAAAATGAATTTAAATAACAAACAAAAAATGCAAATATTTATTTACACTAATTAAATATTAAAAAAAAATAAATAAATAAATAAACAAATGTTCGTAAAATGCAAAAAAAAATCCACTGTACCGTTAATCGTACATAATGCACACACCTGATTTCAAATATCTCTTACTCTTAACTTAATTAACACCGTTAAAAAATCAATAAACACATAACCAACTCTAGTAGCAAAAGTTTCACAATCAACAACAACAACAATGTTGCTGACAGACATAATTACGACCACAAAAGCACACACAAACACAAAAACAACCCCGTCGACGACGACGACGACGACGGCGGCGGCGACCGCACTCACAGCCGCGACGCCGGTGCCATACGAAAAGCTTGCAGTGCGTGCGATAAAAGTGCCAACCCCAACGCCTTATACACCAACAACAACGACAACAACAAGCGGCGTCGCTTGGTTTGTGCCCAGCGAAACGCAATTGACAACCACCAAGCTCGAACCGTCAACAAGCAAAGTACCGACTACAACAACAACTTACCCAACAATAACGACTTCAAGCACACGGAACGGCACGCCGACAGGCGCAAAGCCAAAAGTGCCTTTAGCGCGCCCGTCTTTAGCGGCAAGCAGCGAAAGCGTGTACGTTTCGCCGCTTAAATGGTCGCCGGACACGAATGAAACGTACGAAGAAGAGCAGAAGAAATTACTCAAAGTAGCCATAGATGAGCGCAGATCGCGTTCACCTCCAGTAAGTCCAAATTACTCGCGTCGCCATCGTTTCGGCAGTGACGAGGATATTCTAACAAATATCACGAAGAGCAATGAAAAACTTGAACGTGAACTAGCTAAAATGCCACCACTACCAACGATGTCATTGTCAGCGTATCGACGCCAACAGCGCAGCGGACATTTATATCGCACACCATCGGCATTCCGGCAACGCAGCGCCAGCGACGAAGGTCGCAACGTCAGTTGGAAACCAACATTTTGCGGACAATGTAGCGACTACGGCACACACTGTAGTTGTAGCAAATACACGAAGCACATAAAGAGTTGCACACAATTTGAGCCGATATCATGCGCTTGTTGTTGTAGAGCAAATAGTGGGGCAGAGAAGGTAGGCATAGCAAAGCCTACAACAAGGACTGAGAGTGAAGACACCATTGGCGCCACTGAAGCGAGTATATACATAGATACAGCGACCCCAACGACCGGAATTACAACAAATCCTATCACAACAACACACACATTATATAAAAAATGTAGAAACCACATTTGGGATGCACAGGCCTACGCCACAATCAACACACCGATTAGCCAATGTCGGGCACATAGTAGGTTAAGAGATAGTAAGTGCCAAAGGGCGAAACGTTCACTAGAGGAGAGCGCTCCGAAAGCCGAAGAAACAACCGCGAATGAGTTTTCCGCGCCACATGAAGCTCATGAGGCGCCATCAACGTCACATTGCAAGACATCGACATCGAAGAGTAGACACACTACGCCACGGCATCCCTACAGCACATCCGAGCCGTCTTTAGCGCACAACACCGCAACTCCCTGCACACAATGCGCGCGCGCTACTATTGGTGGACCTAAATTTTGCACATCCTGTAATCCACAACCTCCAACAAGTGTTTGCTCCTCAAATGCGTGCCGGGTAATGCCGTGCCATCCTCATGGTCATTGCAAAACGGAACCGTTGCCGTGGCTGCAACAGCATCTGGTTTTGAATCAAACATTTAGTGGACTTGGGCACTTAGCCTCGGACCATTGTCACACATGTCAGAGCCCGCGTCAAGGCAAGCACTTGACGGTGCCAACTGAAAGCACAGTGACAAGAGTGGAGGAAGCAAACAAACCCATGACAAAAACAACGGCAAATAGTGGAGAGGCGTCGAGTTGCAAACCACGCGCCTACTTCGAAGAACTCTTACGACGAGATGAGTGTTGTGCAGTTAAGCGTGTTTGTGATAATGCGACACAAGAGTGCGAGAGTCACGCAGGTGCAGTGTTGAAGAGGAAACCACGTCCACCTGTTAAAGTGGATGTTAATGTGCGTTTGGTGCCTAAAGCGGGAAGGGTTCATAAGGAGGAAACCGATAAAATGGCAACAACCAAGCCAATTGAATTCGAAGCAAACTTGAAGAAACCACCGGCATTTGATGACGAGCAAAACAAAGGTTATGAGAACGTAGAGGAGAGTAAAAAGCAAGAGCTCGCCGACGCAATAGAAGTGCCCGATTTATCCCTCAACGATTTCGAAATAGATGATTGCGACAATGCGGCCGTGGAAGAATGAATTCGACTACTCATTTAGTTTACTGGTTAATAAAATAATGATAATATTTAGGTTTTAGTTTAGTCTAAATAATTTAATACTCGACACGCTTTCGTAGCGAACTGAGTACTCGTAGTGTGGGAAAAATGCTCTTCCTAACACACGCATACCTAAAAGATATCATCAACTTTTTAGATCCTATTAACTTCCTTACACCATTTATTTTTTTACGAAATATTAGCGAAGAACGTCAGCGCTTACGTGAGACAAACGAGAAACTTATGGACCGGCTGAAGCAAATATGGGCAAGTTATAAGGAGTTGCTGCAGGACTCGCAGCGGGAAAAGGTCCAGCAACTCTCACGCCAGACACGCTCTAATGGACAGCGAAGCTCGCAAAGCGATACCACCGAGTCCGCAGGAGGGGAAGAGCATTTTTCTGCGCGCACTTATACTGTAGACAAGGTAATTGGTTTGGCGAATAAGAAAATAACTAATTTTGTTCTTTCTTCTCTTCCCTTTTCTTCTTTTCTCTTTTCTCATTTCTATTTTCTCTCCTTGTATTTTCTATCTTTTTCACTCGCTTACTTTAATGAACTCTCATTAATTCAATGAATTTGCCTCGGAATAGAACGGAAATATCAACTTTACAATCGAATGTAGAATATTTAACCAATCGCATGCTAAATAGCGAGCGTAATGCTAAGTTAGACAATAATCCAATTTCTTACGGCAATCTAACAGGCGCCAAAGGTAAATCGAAGTCTGAAACTGGTGTCTTTTCCAAATCACTTCAAAAGAAACACTCAAACAAAAATACACGTAATTAACTACACACAACTCAGTGTGGCTGAGCTGGGGTTATAGGATACTAGTCTCGAAGGTATTTTACTTCCTTTTCTTTACCAATGTCGTGCACTTCCTTCGTTCTTATGGATGTTTGAAGCCAATTGGAACTGCAAGGTGCAGCCAGATTCTTCTCCATCTGATCTTACTTTTTCTCTCCTTTCACCGACGGGTACTATATCGAAAACATTCAAAGTTGGAGTAATCTTATGCATCCGAACCACATTGTCAAACCAACGTAACCACTCTAACTGGATTCGCTGAACTATGTCAATGTCTCCGTATATCTGGTACAGCTCATCGTTACATCGTGTGCAGTATTCGCCGTCTCCAGTGCAGGGAGGTCTCTTTCACGTAACGCCGACTCATCAGATGTTGCCATCGTCCATGCCTCTAAACCATATAGTAGGACGAGAAGATGACTGATCTGTAGATAGATTTTGGTCTTTGTACGTCGGAAGTAGGCTTTACTTTGCAGTTCCCTAATCAGTCCAAAGTAGCAGCAATGCTACTGGCAATAGTAATCCTGCACAGAATTTCCAAGCTGATCTTATTATTGGGTTTGAAACTGGTTCTTAGACAGACGAAGTTATGACTGTTAATAGTGACGTGGGAGCCGAGTAGTGAATGAGATGTCTGACTGTTTGATGACAGAAGATATTTCGTCTTGTCTTCGTTCACTAGCAGATCCATACGCTTCGTTTCGTTATCCACTCTGGACTCTGGAGAAAGCGGAACTCATAGATACTCACTCCACTCTTGCATGGAACCAGGGTAACGTTGAAGTAATTGCTGAACATATCTGCTCACTTAGATCAATAGAAGCGCTCATTGTGATTCCGCTGGGGAACAAGCCGCTAAGAAAATAAATGTGTTGAGTTAAAAAATAGGCGTAATACACATGGTTCACATAAGTTGCCGCCCGATACCTTTAACTGACCTCAAATCGCTGGGTTTTCGTAAAGTAAACACCACAACGCTTTATGTTCTTGCTCGTCTCTGAAGCTCATACAGAAATCTTTAAATGGTATGCTCAGTCGCTCTGGCACGAATGCCTAATAAAGACATATAAGGGCGTCCTATGAGTAATCGCAAAAATGTGGATATCTTCTTTTGTTTAAAGCGAGAAAAGCTCTCGTGGCTCCTTTTAAGCCAAATTATTTTGGTAACATTGCAACAATTGAGACTCTTTTAATGAAGCCACCACCGAACCTGTTACAGAGGTCTGGCATATCCTGGAACGCAACGTTCTCCTCGTAATATCTCATAAAGTCAGTGACAGTTATGGAACGGTCCATCCTTTATGATGGACGGAATCTTCGCTTGGGCGATTTTTGTTGTCATGGAACCTGCCTGCCGGTCAGTCTAGGAACTTTCAACTCCAACGAATTTTGGATCTCATTAAGATGAGATAAAACCAGAAACTATGATTATTAAGTTAACTGTGCCTCAGTGCTTGTAAATCCAAAGAAATCAGCTACCAATTTCAAGTTTCATTACAGTTCAACACCGATACAGACATTACGACATACTCACTCTAAATCAAGCTCTATTAAACTGCTTTATATTTAAGCTTTTTGTTAACCCTATTCTTACATTTATGTTTCTCCCCATTCAGCCACTTTCGACTACAAGCCGTCCACATTTGGTGCCGCCGATACCACACGTGGCTCCAATGATGACTACACCAAACCCTCTCCTTACAGTTATGAGTCCACACTTGGTAAGTCAAGTGCTTCCGACATCTACGGTAATGCCACTTCCACACCAACAACCAGCCTTACAAAAACACCCGCCACAACAACTGCCAGTTCTTTGTACAACAAGTCCAGCTACGATCAACCAAGCAACGTCAGCGGTGAAGCGCTCAATGACTACAAGTCCAGTTACAACAGCAAGTACGATCTCAACGACCCCGACGATGAGAATATCAAAGACAATGTGGGAGAAGGTGAAAAACGACGGGCCGGCGACAGTGGCAGTGGCAGCGGTACAGCAATCGCCCCCACTAGTGATACAGTCAATTCCGGCTATGACTATACAAAAGACTACACCACTGATGACATCAACGCTGCTTCCACAGGCGTCGCAGACATATCGGGTAGTGGAACCGAACCGAACTTGGCCGATCCCATCGCGAGCAGCAACGCCAACGATTACAACGCTGACTACAGTGGCTACGAAGGATATGGACAACAGCAATATGATGGAGGTGCATACGATGCCACCGCTTATGACCAGTCAGCATATGATGGCAGTCAACAACAATATGGCAGCGCAGGACAATACGATCCCAGTGGACAGACCGGTTACGATACAAGTGGCGGACAAGGAGGCTATGGCGAGTACACGGCTGCCGATTATGATCAGTCCGCCTACCAGTACGAAAATACAGCCACATTGGGTGCCGGTGATGAAGGTGCAACAACAACATCAGCATCAAGTGAAAACATCAAATCCCCACCACCATCAAGTGATGGTATCGGAGCTGCCAGCACAACTCCTGCCACACAAAGACCAACAACAACGACCCTTGGTAACACAACATCGTCAATTGCACCATCAACATCAGCGCTACCTACCAGTGGAGTCACCACGAACATTGCTGGCCGCCCAACAACGGAGAGCCGCAATCAATCGAGAACGGGCAGTAGCGCTGTGGGGCCAGGAAGTGCAAGTGGCAGCGGATCAGTCGGTGGAGGAAAATCCAATCTGTCACAACAGTCTACCACGGCCGCAACCAAAAAGTAGTTGCGCTCAGTGGGTGACCGAAAGAGTAAGTAGTCCCGGTGAGCTCTGCGATCCTTTTGAGTTGGAATTTAGCATAAGTAGCCCGAGTTTGATACGTTCGTTGGGATCAGACTCCTGCACTGAAGTAGAGGGCAACGGAGAGTTCGAATCGATTTCTGAAATGAGCATTTCACCAGCGCAAACAGCTATTAGACGTATAACGGTGGTGAGTGCTACTGGTGCGGTTGATAATACCGTTCATACGAATGTTGTCAGCGAAGACCAAGTAGAAAAGAAAGTGAAAAGCAACTGAGACATTTAATGCACGTAAAGGAAGTGAACAATATTTTTTAAAATCAATTACAAAAAAAAACATTTTGAATATACAAAAGTCGTTGAGAATAAGACGTGAATGGAATAATTTAGCATTAATTATAGGCAGCAGCAGTAAGCATTCGATTGGATAAACTATTTGATTCATAAACTAAAAAAAATTCTAAAATGTCTGTAAATTATTGAAATAAAATGTAATATAAGAAATAAAGATTTGTTAAAAAAATTATCAATTTGATTAAAATCTTTGGAATGGTAATGTTCAAAGTGATGGCAAGCCCTTTAAGAATACTCCATACAAGCTTTGAAAGTCCCGCTTCAAAGCTTCTTCTATCTCTATATATAGAATTTCCCGATTTGCTTTACATTAAACAGATTAGGCAGTCGCAATAGGCGAGTGGTCAGAAAGGGAAGGCTGCGAGTCCTGGTCCGATGAACATCAAAAATGGTAATTATTATTTGAAAAGTTCTCGACCTAACTAATATAATACATGGATCATGTAGAGGAACTTTTTTCAAGACCTGTTGACAGATCACGCTTGAGGTGTGTTGTTTTCTTCGAGTATTGTCTGGCATTTATCATTGGAATATCTTCGCCTGAATAACGATTACAAATCGTTCAACTTTATTACGAAAATTCACGTTCGGTAAAGAATGTTCGCTGAACTTATGGTCAACATAAACGGCCAACTCAGCATACCATTCGCAACACCATCACCCATCTTGAGACCCAGTATTCATCATTGGATAATATTCTAACGAATAGACCACCTCCAGCGCGTAGTGAAGAAAATATAGCGGCCATACCCGAGAGGGTACACGAAGATCGGTGTGAGTCAGATAGCCGCGATCCATAGCAATTTGACCTTCCCAAGCGAGATCGCTTCGCTATATGGTCCTTAAAGAGTTCCAAAAGATCGGACGTTTTCGAGCCTTTGTTGTTCAGCGACTCAATGGGTATGCAAACAAACAATACTGCCGCTTTTGGGACCAAGAGCAACCTGGAGAGATTCAAGAGCTGCAATTTCATCCAGAAAAAACAACGGTTAGGTGTGCTTTGTAGGACGGTGAAAACATCGGTCCATATTTTTCTTCAAAACTGATGCCGATGAGAACGTAACCTTAAATGGCTCATGATCTCGGCGAAATTCGGTTTCAACAAGACGGCGCCACTTCCCACATATCGCAGCAACCAATGGATTTATTAAGAGAACACTTTGGTGGGCAGATAATTTCACGTTTAGACTTACTGCTGTGGAGATATGTAAAATCTGAAGTTTATACGGACAATCCGGTTTCGATTCAGGCCTTGGAGAAAACCATCACGCAGGTCATTCGGCACTTACCAGTCGCAATGCTTGAACGAGTAATAGAAAATTGGACTACATATACGCGGCCAACATTTGAAAGAGATAATTTTCAAGAAATAAATGCCAACGATTGTTCTTTCGAATGATAAAAAAAAACAATCCACATCAAATTTGATTTTTGTGTGTTTTTTCATTAATTATTAAACTCTGATTTTTATTATTTTTTTATGTTTTTTTTTCGGAGGCAATCCGACTTTTGGTCTAAAGTGAGTAAAAAATATCTCTCTCTCCCTTTATTTCGACGGTCGTGTTGGCCACTTATACTTTGTTTAGGAGACTGAACTGGACAGTAGGTCTTCTAAACGACTTGCTATCAACGCGGCTTCATATTACACTTGTTTGTTAGTCCCTCAACCTTAGAATGAATTCTTAGCAAACTATGTTTTCAGCTCAACTGGATAAGTAGCAGCGACAGGAGTACCACAAATTCTTTAGGGAAAAGTTTTGAAACCTCAACAGTCACATACTGCCCGTCTCTTGTTTAATATATGCTCCAGCCAGTCGTGTAAATTCTGGTTGAACCCATCATCTGTTGCTACGATGAGATAAATGCTGTGATTTTTGGCATATTTAAAGCTCCCCCTACGTCAATGAATGTCGTTACTGGGCGTAATCTCGCATATTTTTCAACTGTCCGGCCTTTCTCAGGGCATCGCAAACCCTTTCCAGACTGAACGATTTCCATGACTTTAGTAGAGATTTATTTCTTATCTTGACTTAGACAGATTCTACAGAGATAGCTTCTATAATGAAATAAGTACGCAATTATCGTTTTATATAATATCTTATCTTATTACTTTAAGCGAGCAGCTCAACTTTACAGTATAACTTAGAATTATTATAGAATTTGTTTTTAGGAATGGGTACAAACTAAAAGCACCACTCTAGCCTCCCGGACAGTCGTTCACTTAAATTCATTTCATATTCAATGAAGAATATTTTATTTTCATTTTTCCAAACTCGGATATGCCGCTGCCAATGTTTTCCTGCCATGCCAATCCCAAGCATTTGTATTTATATTGAATTTAGTTTTTCCCATTTGCACCGGACACGGCTCCTCCACGTGCAGCAGGAAGCAGACTGTGTAAACACTTAATTCGAATTCCGGTGAAGTGCCAATGAAAAGCGTATTATAGGGTTTAACATGATTGTGGAATGAAAAGCGTGTGGCTAGTACATATTTGTTCTGCAAAAGGAAATTTGATAATTCAATACTTCAAAGAGGGAAAGTGGGGGAAACGCAGTTATGAAGCTATGCAATAATGAAATTAGTATGATGATAAAAATATAAGGCACATATGATATATACAGTAAACCTGGTTAGGAGAGAGTTCAAGGGCTAGTGTTTTTTACCAGGGTTCCAAGTTTAGGCTTATAAATAATATTCAAAATATTTAATTATAAAAATGTAAAGAGTAAATTATCAAATTGACGTTTCATTGCCCGATTATGAAGAAGTTCGAATAGCAATCGCCCACTTGAAAAACAACAAAGAGACGGAGGGCGTTGAATTGCAAACCGATTCAAATCAGGCGATGAAGAACTAATAAAGTTAATGCAAGCACTTCTTGGCAGAATAAGGTCGGATGAAAGCATGCCCGACGATTGGAACTCCCCCTGCGGGTTAGGGGTTCAAGAATATACCTGAGGTAAGGCATATCTGTTGTAAGAGGCGATTAAAACCCAATAGCTCCCGCGACAGTCGGGCCTTTATACCGGAACGACCCGGATTTTTATCCAGCCACTGTCACTCTCGCAACATTTCCCAAAAAGTACTTTGGGGAATATTTTTGTGGTTACAACAACAACAACATTGGAACTTAAGTGTGCTCTGCTCAACGTCTGATGGTTTTTATGAGGAGTTTGTATTTCATGTCAGAACCCCACTAGGGGGGCATGATATTTCCTGCCAAGGGCCGAGCGGATTAGAAAGGTTAACTTAATTTTTCTGTTATATTAAATTTCATTAATTTTTGGATGTTGGTAGGATCAGCACTCGAACCCTCGTCTTACGAGTGACAGTACGCAATGCTAACCATTCGACTATCGCGGCCGCTAATTACTGTGGGGTAAGTCTTCTTAATATCGCATATAAGCTTCAGTCGACCGTCAATTAATTGATTGGACCAGACCAGTTGGGCTCTAGATCTGGTACATCCATCATTGACCAGATATTTACTATGCATCAAATCTTGGTAAAGGCACGTGAAAAGAGGTAGTGTCTCTCTGCACCGATTTTAAAGCAGCTTAGGTGAGCACGAAAGGGAGTTGTCTCTACTCCAATATAAGTGAATTTGGTATCCCAGCAAAACTTGTAGGATTGTGTAAACTAATGCTAAGCAACACCAACAGTTCTCCCAGGATCGGAAAGTACTTCTCCAAGTCGTTCGACACAAAACGAGGTTTTATGTGAAGCTACTTTATGGTCGGCTTAGCAGATTTCGAAAGATTTATAATACTTTGAGGATTTGCAATGGTGAATATCGCGGACGATAGCTATGCCGGCTAGGTCATATCGTCCATGTGCTATGCTGAACGGTGCAAGCAGAACAAGAGGAAGACCTACACTCCGTTGGAGAAAAAAAATCTTACTTCAATTGTGTGCGCCACTTGAATCTATTCCCTATTCGGTTACACTTCTTTGCATATACCGCTTCTCAGTCTTTTACCTTATCCAACTCTATCTTTTCGATGAAACCTTTGTAATCCAAATTGCCCTGCATTTCCTGTTCGTGAAAATAAATCCAATTGTGTAAACCCAAAATGCTCTCTTCACGTAGTTCTGCAAGGAAAACATGCTCAAAACCTGAACTACCCATGCGTCCTTTTGAGCGTGAATACTGTGTAAACCATATGCTTTTAAGCAATTGAAGTTGTGCATTGTGTTCGGCGGAAACACGACCTGGAAATTATAATAAATTACGTAAATAAAGTCTAATTTTGTAAAAACTACTAAGCGTGTGGGTGTGTGTGTGTAGTTCTTACCCTTCTGCTGCAGAAATCTCATTGTATGCTTCATCATAGAAGTTTTCAGTATGGCGTTTAGGAAATCCAACTCTTCCTGTGCCTGCTCATCACTGGTACTCTCGATGGTGTGCACATCCAGCACATAGTTGTCAAAGAGACGACGAAGCAGTGAGATGGTTGAGGAGGTATTTGACAGTGCAGCATCATCTATTTGCAACAAACTGCGTGGGTTAAAGACAAATTGATTCCACATATTGTTTATTGGTTGGTTTGGTGCTTGTGTACTTACGGCTGCGCAGCACGATCATCGCGCGCAAACGACTTTGTTTTGCCCTGGAAATTGACGCTGATTGGATAATTGTTCGCGCTTACTTCATCGGCGAATAGACGCCGTGTGAGATCAATAATTTCATGTTCCACAAATGTTTCCGGATCTGGTCCACCTTTGCCCGCATAGAAATATTCTGGAATTCGAGTTTATTTTTATGCATAAGTGAAACTCTTCAGCACAGGCATATTTCCCCCGTATCTTACAACACTCACCGTAGATGTGCCAGCCTATAATACCAACCACTGCCAGCACAACAATTAAGATGAAACGCTTGAGCTTCTCACATTTATCTTTATCCAATGTATTTGTGGAGTTATTTGAATTCGAGTCGGTATTATTTTGTCGATTGTCGTGATTAAAGTTATACTGCGTATTATTTGTTGCTGCACACATTTTTTCAAGTTTGTTTTTATTCACTATTTTAGTACTTTCGGTTTTATGCTTTCTATTTTTACACACAACTTTATCACGCTTCCATAATCCGCCGAAATCTTCAATGGTCTGATAAAAGCTTTGTTGATCTCTCGGCTTTGATCTCCACATGATCGACGCAAGAGTTGCTCACATTTATGATTGTTTTATAATATGATTGGAGAGTAAAAGATCACTTTGCTGCCGAGCGAAGAGTGCGCTGAAAGCCTATAAATGTGAGTGAGCGAAAAGTAGAAGTATTCAATAAGCTTTCGCTGAATATGCTGTATGGTCGTTTACTATTCAGCGTTGACACTCAAAGCTCACTAATTTATTGTACCAAAGCGCTGAGCACAAGCAAGCCGATTTTCGTATGAATATCAGCACAACACATTTGACCATATGTTCGGACGCTAGAGTACACAAAGGCGATGGCGCAACTGTTCAATTTTCTATACTCTAGGCGGTACATAAGTTTTCATATTTGCTGTAATTATTATTTTATTGACGCAGAGTAGGTATATTTTGTGGCCACATGGCAGATTTTTATTTGAATTTATTTTACGCCTTTGTATGTAAGTTAGTGAGTTTACGTGGTGCACGCTTTAGGTTTGAAGATATGCGACAACTTTTTATGAACCAAATGGAAGATCGCTGACCAAAAATTTAATATTTTTTATTGCAAAGTGTAGTTCGGAAAGTCATCTACGGGGCCCACATTTATCGCGGCGCAAAAGGGTAGTGGAGTATCGACTTTTTAAGAGGAAGTGTCATCCTTAATTTTAATTCCTTTTTCTATTTCCTTAAGGGTGTAGAAATCATTCCTTCTTTCCATTCGTTGTTTGACGCCAATTGGAAATACCAAATGTAGTCAGAACCTTTTCCACCTTATCTTTCTTACGTTGTAGAGGTCTTTCTTTGCTTACATCGGCGCGTGTGCTTCGAAAACTATTGAATCTGGAGTATTCTCATGACCAAGCCAGCGTAGCTGCTGTCACTTCCTTCGCTTAACTATGTCGTTCCATCGGCTGTGGTATTCGCGAATGCTAATTCACAAAGAGCCATAAATCGCTCGCAGAGCTTTTCTTCAGCAGACTCCGAATCACTTACTCGTGTTGGCAACATATAGCAGCACAGAAATGATGAGTAACTTGTAAAGTTTGTTAAAAGAAGGCGTATGAGAGGAAGACTCTGTTCCAAAATTTTGTGTTACCCATTAACCATCATTTGAATAAATCCTTAGTAAAGTGTCTAGCGATAATGATATCGAAGAAATAACGACTACAGAGTCAAAACCTTATACCCCAGTAGATCTTGAATTGAATAAAGAATGTGTGAAGATTATCTCTTTCAAATGCTAGCCGCGGCTACATCCGTTGAGTGCAATTCTTCATGACTTGTTCGAGCATTTCGAATGGTACTTGGCGAATGAGACGAGTGTAGTTTTGCTCCAAGGCCTGAATCGGAGGACTTTACATTAGACTTTACATATCCCCATAGAAAAAAGTCTAACGGTGTGATATCATGCGATCTTGATGGCCAATTGACCAGCTCAAAGCGTGAAATTATCTGCCCACCGAAATGTTCTCTTAATAAATCCTTTGGTTCCTGCAATTTGTTGGAAGTGGCGCCGGGGGGGAAGTGGTTACGTTCTCATCGGCATCAGTTTTGAAGAAAAATACGGACCGATCTTTCCACCGGCCCACAAAGCACACCAAAACGTTGCTTTTTCTGGTTGAAATTGCAGCTCTTCAATCTCTTCAGGTTGCTCTTGGTCCCAAAAGCGGCAGTATTGTTTGTTTAAATACCCATTGAGTCAGAAATGGTCTTCATCGCTGAACAACGAGCCAAAGGCTCGAAAACGTCCGATCTTTTGGCACTTTTTAAGGGTCATATAGCGAAGCGATGTCGCTTGTGAAGGTCGAGCGGCTTCAGTTTTGCACAAGGCGTATTTCTTACGCTTGTAAGTTAAGATCTTGAAGTAAAATGCATCAAGTCATTCCACGCGTTAGTCCGAGTTACTGCGAACGGCGCCGAATCGACTCACCATGATCTTCGTGTACCCTCTCAACTGATGATTTTCAATGATTAGCGTTTATTTTCATGTCATAAAAACACTTAGAGGCGTTGACAATTCCAGCTGAGAGGCGATCGCAATTCGAAAAATTAAAACCAATCGGATAAACCTATGATGGTTGACTACAGCGGGGGGACGAAAGTGTGTGTCCTGTGTATGGCGGCGTAAAAGCAGCTTTTTGGAGTAAAATTTCTTATGTTTAATAAAACTTGTAGAAAACTACATAAAGAAAGCCTTAATTTTTACCATTAATGTAGTTAGTATAGGGTCCTGAACTAAGAGAACGGTGTTGACCAGTGTCATCTGATCATTTATTCAAAATTCATTTTAAATAGACAAAAATTGATACACAATAGCTAATGCCACTTACTTATTGTTGTTGTTGTTGTTGTTGCTCATATACAATGTAATGATTCTATGAAGTGAAAGTCAATGAGGTTTTTATTAATGGAAGCTCGCTGCTCTTTTCATCTAATGAGATCATAATATTTGCCAACACTTCTGTAGCTGACATCCATCACATAAGCTTCGAAGTCAGGAGAGTATTTATTGCCTTCATGGGGAATGCATTCATAAACACACTTACTGGTACACAGTAAAACCAGAAGAAAAAAAGATAATTTTATTGGACTAGGGAGCGCAATATTAGTTGCCTCTTTCAAAACCGCAGCTAAGGTTGAAGGAATGACACTGAAATATATATTTTGCGCTTTATAACCGCTGAAGCGGTTTTAGGCCGAGCTTCACCTCCAATTCGTGGTTTTGCTCCAACTTGATGTTTCTCCAACCTACCTACAGTTCATATTGTACTAAGCCGCATCCAAACGGCTGACGAATTTTTTATGAGGAGCTTTTATTTCATGTCTGAAATACACTCGGAGCGGTTGAAATGCCGACCGAGAAAATTTAGATTAATTTTTATTTAAATTACTTTTTCTACAATTTTTTTTGTTTTAACACACTTATAGAAAAAACTCAAAAGAACAGGATAAAGTCAGCTGTGTTCTGCAGACAACGGCGACAAGACTTTATAAGCATTCTGTTACGGTATTCTGTCATACAGTCTCCAACCATCACTAAAGTTACGCGGAAAAAATTATCCATAGCCAATGAGTATTTATTTGTTGTAAAGGAATTTCCGCGCAGCTTAAGCTCCCTTGAGTCACTATCAGTGAGTTTCGGTGCAGACGATTGCTTAATGTACGAAACACGACAGTGGTGGCGAGAGAAAAAGTTTAGAAAGGAAAGAAAAGGTACGTGCTAAGAGGATTTTAAAAATTACTAGAAATAAAAATCTTAATATAATTTATGGAAACGATACCGAAATGGACTAAAAATAATTTTTTTGAGAGTTTATTTCAATACAATGATTTAATTTTATTTCCAATAACAATGTTCTAAAATTTTCAATCAAGTCTCTTGCATCTCGAACTGAAGATTAGAAATTCTTCTATGTTTCTTCATTATTCGCCGTTTTTTTTTATAAAGGAAACTATTCAAATATCTCGAAAAATCTGGAAGGACGACAGTAGGCACGACAATTGGAAACTACCAGGACTTGGCAATCTACCAAATCGATAAAAGTGAAGACTCGGATCCGATCTCAATATCGCATCCAAGGTTCACTGGAGGGTATTGTGCGAAAGAGTAAAGCCCACCGTCAACAAACCGATAGGACCTTACCAGCACAGCCTTAAACCCGGTTGATTCTCCATTCACCAAATATGCACCATACACCGAAACATGATAAAGATCCGTATGAAAAAGATCGACACAGACTCTCTCTTCGTCGATTTTAAAGCAGTCTTGGACAGCACGATACGTAGTTGCCTAGATGCTACTATGCCGGAATTTAGTATCCTTACCAGCTCTTACTCATACGGCTATGCAAACTGACATTAAGTAACGAACCTCTCCGATCTCCGAGCTGTTCAATACCAAACGAGGTTTCAGACATGGCGACTCTTTATCGTGTGACACTTTTAATTCATCGATTTGGGCCACTGGACAGTTGCAAAATCTCTCTTCAATATGAGTTGTTGTTTCTGCTGTCTTAACAGCGCAATCCATCAATGTTTTTAATACTCAAATTATAGGAATTCCATTGGTGTCATTTCAATTTGTATTGCGTTTAATAGAAGGAAATGTATTTTTGTTTTATAGCTGCCTTCATAAATCATTGGCTTACCTTTCTTCTCGGATATTATCAAATTCGACACATAAATGAATTAATTTTCTTTAACAACAACAATTTCCCTCGGCTTATGCTTGCGTGTTGCTAACTTTTATGCTGAAACTATCAGCGAAGTAAATGTTCGAGTTTACATACATATGGATGTCTTCCTATAGGATGTTGTATTTGTAGTTTCCATACTTACATACATATGTATATATGTATGTGAGTACTTACAGGCAAATAGATTATTCAAACAAGTTAATTAACTTTGTTAAATAAACGCTGAAGCTAGTAAAGTTCTTGCAATTCCCTTGGGAGTAGTCCCCTCTAAGAGCCATCAATTATAATCACGCTATCCATTGTTATCCTTTTTGAGTATTCTACGCATTAAGTTTTTATACCTTTCACGAACATAAAGTGGTTTCTAAATTTTAGTCCGAAGCATGTAAGTACCCGAAGATATTCTCCTTCTATCGATATAATCCAAATGACGAGCTGAGTTGATTTGGCTATGTCAGTCTGTTCATCTGCCTGGCTGTTCTTCTGTTTGTCAAATGGTCCATCCGCTTAATCCAATTTTGGCCTACTCTTTCCAACATTTCGGCCGATATCTCACAAATAAATGCTTCAATGCTGTCCTCCAATGCGTTATTAGAAGCGGGCTTATCTGTATAGACATTAGATTTAACATAGCCCCACAAAAAATTGTCTAAAGGCGTAGACCGGTCCCGAACGAAAAATTCACCGAACTCACCTCTCAATGAGGCCATTGTTACGCGTGCTGTGTAGCATGTGGCACCGTCTTGTTGAAACCGCATGTCATGCAAGTCGAGTTTATGCATTTTGGGCAAAAAAAAAGTTTGATATCATCCCACGGTAGCGCTCACCATCCACAGTTACGTTACGATTCGCATCATCTTTGAAGAAGTACGGTCCAATGATACTACCAGCTCAGAAACCGCATCAAACTGTGACTTATTCTGGTGCATTGGTAGCTCCAAAATCGATAATTCTGGTTATTAACGCACCCATTAAGCCA